AAGGAATAATCTCTTATTCTTCTGTTTCATCAACAATAGGATCAATTGGTTTAGTCTCAGCAGTAGAGACTTCGTGTACAACAGACTCTTCAACAGTAACAGGCTTTTTCTTTGAAAACTTTTTAGGCTTGGACTCCTTGATAGGTTTTTCAGAAGAACTAGCATCATTCTTTTTCTTATGTTTGGACTTATTCTCCTCCCTTGGTAATAAAACACCAGTTTCCACAGAAGTATCAATTGTTTTTAAATAAGCCAGTAACACTGGATTCGAAGGATCAACGCTTTTAAGCATTGCATCGGGTATACGAGCAACATAAGGAAATTCCTCAGCATTATCTAATGCATCCTTCGGAAAATTGTAAACATGGAAAACAACTTTTTCTTCGTCATTCGGCACCAATATCCCCTTTCTATCGTCTTTAAATTGACTAGCCCGGATCTGCGGGTGTTACATTAATCATATACGATTGATGTAGTAAATAATGAATAATGGTGTATGTGACCAAATTGTTTACATTGTTTATTAAGTGTTGATAATCATTGTTGGTTGTGTTTAACAAACATATATATATATATATATATATATATATATATATATATATATATATATATATATATATATATAGGAATGAGTTCTATGGAAAACAAATAACTAGGGCAATATCTACCGGAACCAATAATCAAATGACACGTGTCCATTTCTTTCTTCACAAGTAATGTATTGTGGAAGTGATGTGTTGTCATTTTTTCATTGGTTCAAATATGTGTTGCCCTAATCATTTATTTTCCATATAAATCTTCCCTATATATATATATATATATATATATATATATATATATATATATATATATATATATACTTTGGTATTAAGTTGTAATTTTTACATACATTGATGATTAAGCAACTATTTTAGATATATATGATAATCATGGGAACTCTTGGTAATCATATATGAAGGAAATATTTCAACCTAGTTGTACATATTTTCAAATGATTAAATACTTCAAATTTGATTACTGTTAAACACATTTTGATTATGATCAAAATTTTGTTTAGTTCATGAATACGGAATTAATCTAAATTTATGTTATTTCTCCTTATTGGTTTTGTTGTCTAAAAATACAGGTAAAAATGGATCTGATTCTAAAGAGGAATCATTCAATTGTAATGTTGTTGACTCGTGTGGTGGGAAAACCAAGTTATGGAAACCTACTATTCCTGAAGAATTTATGCTATATGTAGATGCTACTTATCAATCATTAGAGGAGGCCGTTGAAATGTATAAATTATATGCATATAAAGCAGGTTTTGGTTTCAGGTTAAATATAGTAATGAGGTTTGGTGACAAAACCATAAAAAAATGTATGTAGTGTGCAAAAAAATGGGTAAAATACCTAACATATCAACTGAAACTTTGGATCCTACGGGAACTGGAAGGAATAAACAAAACTCAAACTTTAGAATCACGGACTGCAAGGCATTGATAAAGCTTGAACGACTACATATGGGAACTAATGCATGGAAAATATATTAGTTCGAAGAGAAGCACAACCACGCCCTAGAGACTAAAGAAGAAAGACGGTATTCCAAACGCGCACGACGACTTAATTATAAAGACAAGGAGTTTATAGTGCGTTCCTCAACATCTAACATTGGTGCAACAAAGGCACATAAGTTACAAGCTAGTTTGCAAGGAGGTTATGAAAAAGTTGGCCCTGAAGTAATTGATTATAAAATTTTTAGAATGAAGATTGGAAACATTATAGGTGACAAGGATGCACAACTGGTTGTTGAAAAAATGAACATGAGGAAATATGAGTTACCTAACTATTTGAGTATAAATGTGTTGATAGTGTGCAAAACACAAAGTTTTGGGCGGATGAAACCAATAAGTTATATTACAAGGAGTTTGGAGATGTGATATCATTTGATGCTACATTCCGATAAAATAAGTATGATCTTATAGTTTTATATTTTTTACTTTAAATATGAATATTGTTGTTTTTTTGAGTTTATAATAACTGTTGAATTTGTTTTTAATTAAGTTTTTAATACAAGTATGGAATGTTTTTTGTGTCATTTACAGCCATTGATAACCACAAACATTCAATAAACATTGGAGCAGGTTTGTTAAGCAACGAGTCAATAGAATCTTATCGTTGGTTGCTTGAAGCTTTTTTCAAAGCACATGGAAAACACCCTCAATTAGTGTTAAAAGACCAAGATCTAGTGATTCTACAGGAGGTAGAAGCAGTATTTCCTAATTCTAATCATTGATTATGTATGTGGCACATTATGAAAAAACTACAAGCTAAGGTGTGTATATTTTATTCATAGTTAACACATTATATGTTTTATTCAACAATCATTTCAACAGTTTATGTTTTCTCAAAAAATGATTAGCACATATCCTGTTTATTCATAGATATCTTATCAACTTGTTATGTTTTATTCTTTTTTTTAGGTTTCAGCGAATTTTCTGAAAAACACTGATTTTCGAAAGCGTTTTACTAAGCTTGTTTGGAATGTATATATAGATCCAAAAGTCTTTGAATCAAGGTGGAAACTTCTTATGAGAAATTCAAACTACAAGACAAAAGATGGTTCAAAGACATGTACAAGGATCGAAAGCTTTGGATTCCAGCCTTTTTTAAAGACATGCCACTGCATGGTCTGATGAAAACTACTTCAAGGTCTGAAAGGGTAAACTCATTTTTTAATAAATACTCAAACTCAGGTAATTTGCTTATTTATTTCATGATGAACTACGACACTGCAATTAGAAAGCAACGAAATGGTCAACAGAAACTAGAACATGATACAACAAATGCAAAGCATGAAATGACGCTTCCAACTGGATTACTAGAATATGCAGCTACGGTTTACACTAAAACCGTTTTCTATGAGGTCAAAAAGGAAATATTTAAATCAGCCTGGTATTGTTCTATTCACAGTGTTGAAATGATTGATGGGTGGCAAGTTGTTATGATTACACAAACGGATAAGAGCAAACAGTTGAACATAAAATGCAAGGTATTATTCATATTTGACACCATATTCATTGATGATTACACAGGTGTATAATATTCTTTGAATTTAAATAAATAGTAATTATTTAAATTTTATGTAATAACCCCTAACTAATATGTCAATTCAACCACTTACTAACATATATTATTTTTCATCTACAATGTAGGTTGAACTAAAATTGCCTGAAAAAGAAGTTAAATGTTCATGCAATCATTTTATACGTACCGACATTTTTTGTCGACATATTTTGCTGTCTTGAAAAATAACCATATTGAAGAGATTCCAGAGCAGTATATTCTCAGAAGATGGAGAAGGGATGCAATTTCAAGCCATTTGCTTGCCATGAAACATGTTGCCATGGAAACAGAAGATGACACCTTTAAACTTCTAATAGAGGCTTACAGTAATATTGAATACTGCTTGGATCATTTCAAAAGAAATAAGGAGAAACTGTTGGCTTTTGTTGAGAACACACGTAAGTTGAAGCATGCAGCAATGGAATTCGGTTGTTCAAACCAATCATCATCTGATAATGATGAAGAATAAATTATTCGGATGCTAGGAATACGAAACATTCCTGAAGAAATAAATATACATCCACCTTCATCAATACGTACCAAAGGGAGTGGAACTAAGAAAAGAATGGTTAGTGCCACTGAGAAAGCTGTTGCAACTACAAAGAAAAAAACTAGAATTTGCACAGGTTGCAATCAATATGTTAACCATAATTGGAGGACTTGCAAAGTCAGACTTGCATGAGAGTCAAAACAACCTTAAAATGGCCTATAGATTTGCCCAATTGCTTTTCTTTTTTCTATTAGATTTATGAATAAGAAGATGTTTCTATGATTCATTATGTTATTTTAAAACACTTTTATATCATTTATTGACTTATTTCTATGATTCATTATGTTATTTTAAAACACTCTTATATTCAATAATGAATACTATTAAGAATACATCAATGAATCATAACAGATTAATGCTATGAAAATTGTGAAATATTGTGTTATTATTTCTATGCTTTTCTTTTTTCTATTAGATTTATGAATAAGAATAAGCTTCTATGATTCATTATGTTATTTTAAAACACTTTTATATCATTTATTGACTTATTTATATGATTCATTATATTATTTTAAAACAATCTTATATTCAATACTGAATACTATTAAAAATACATTAATGAATCATAACAAATTAATGCTATGAAAATTGTGTAATACTCTGTTATTATTTCTATGCTTTTCTTTTTTCTATTAGATTTATGAATAAGAAGATGTTTCTATGATTCATTATGTTATTTTAAATCACTTTTATATCATTTATTGACTTATTTCTATGATTCATTATGTTATTTTAAAACACTCTTATATTCAATAATGAATACTATTAAAAATACATCAATGAATCATAACAGATTAATTCTATGAAAATTGTGAAATACTCTGTTATTATGTCAAATCAGTTTTGGTTTATAATAGATTGATTTTTCCATTCTGGAAAATGTAATATTAACATCAATCATTGTAGACTATTGATATAGTCATTTCAATTATAAAAAGATTTTATTGTATTTAATTACTAGTATATCATAATAACAAATGTTTGTTAGTAAGAATCATAACTGAATAAATATTATCATCACAAATGAATAACATTATTCAAATACTTTAGAACAACACATCATAAACTAACAATAATCTTTGCATGATATCAATCATGTTAATCATAATGGTTTTACATAACATATTTTTTATTTAATTATTCATAAATTAATGTAAATTTATAATTATAAATAAAAAGTTGAAAATATTACTTATCATTCCATTACTAAATTAGCAAACCAAAAGGAACCATTGTACGTTCTACAAGCAAAGTTAATATTCTTAACATACGAAACCATTGTTTTTGAAGATATCCAAAAGAAACCATCAAAGTCATTACTAAAGTAATATCTTGAGCATAATTAACTAAAATCATCCAATCTTGTGTGAATTTGTTCCTTTGCAATACTCAACAGTTCAGAGCGTTGTCTTGCAGGAATCTTGTGGAATTCATCAACCATTTGAAGCACATAATCCTTATGCACATTATATTCACGAGTGATTATTTTGTATAAATATTTTGTCCTCAACTTAGCAAGTTGATCATCTTGTGCAGGAGACTCCTTCTTGAACCCAACTTTAAACTCATTCATACTTCCACCCATATATGTTTCCATGCGACGCATTGTAAACACACCACAATCAATGTGGTTGTTTATTGTTCTCCAAGGCATTTCCAGTCTATGTGGCATCACATGTGAAAACATCTCAGTTTTTGGATGATTCTGAGATTTTAAGTAATCAAGTATATAGATTTTCTGAAAATGTAAAAAAATTGTCAACATGTATGAAATGTTATTTACTAAGTAATGTAACTTTTAGTGATCACTTACGATGATTTAGGGCAATTGACCATATCTCACATCAATATGATCATCAACTTTGCTGTTGTCAATGATTACAAACTCTGGGTGTTGTAGATTGATCACAAAAAGGAAATTTGGAAGGAACGGACAACCGGTAGGAAAAGCTGTAAAATGTATTCATTTAAATGTATTTATTTTTATTTTATATTTATATGTCATTATTAATAAATAAACAAAAAAACATGTTCAGATATGTATCTTACCAATCCAACATAACGTAGGGTTGAGTCCATATCTTCAATAGAAAGCAAAAGATTCTCAAGGAATTTAGCTTTGCGTTCACTTTCAGATAAATTACCTTCAAGATACAAATTTTGTTGTCCAGTTTTAAAAACTCATTATTTTTTTTATAATTTGTATTTAACATATAGTTTAATCAGCATTGAATAATAATAAACAATACCGTCAACTCCGTCTTGCAATAAACTCTTAAATGAGATTCTGATGCACGATTACTTTCATCGAGATTCAACACTTGACTCCAACAATCAATCACCTGACCAAATAGTTCACATGTAGGAAAAAAAAACTTTCCATTTGAAACCTCTGAGGAAAAAAACCATCTAGAGTGCGGAAAACTATATCACTGCAAAAAACGTGACCAATTGTTACTTATTTTAATATTTAACCAAATAAAGTAAGTAACTTTAAACATATTTTAAATGTAACTTACGTTGGTTCGCCCTGGAGAGAGAATATCCATTCTGCTACATGTTTTTCTGGTCGTGGAATTCCTTTGGTGATATCAACAACCCGTATAATGTCAGGAGATTTCAGATAATCGGACTTCATGCGAGGCCTGCCCCCTCTTCTATTAAACCCTTTTTCTTCATTCTTGAATGGTACTACAGACAAAGGCATTGACATTTCTATTTTAGATGGCGGTGTACTCTGAAAAGATTTTCTTATAGGTCAATTCACGAAGTCTGCATATGTGAAATCCCCATTTTCACGGCCAGAAAAGACCGATTTTGTTTATGCTTTATAAAATCAGAGTACTTCTTTTAATAAAAATGTTGCGGGCCTTGTTCCCAGAAAAACACAATAAATACGTTATTAAAACATTTTCGAAGAACGTACTTTATTCATTTTAAAATATTTGGGATGTCATCGTTAATACAGAAACATAAGCATAAACAAAACTTACATTTATTTACACTAGTGATCTACATCTCTTTAAATCTCTCAGTGTAATGTGACTTCATATCAACACCTGTGATATAAACAAACTGAGTGGGTCAGGTTGGGAAACCTAGTGAGTACATAGGGTTTTCAACCCACAATAATATAATTATTACGTTTAAACAATCAAGCAATTAAACCCCATTACCCATCCCCATTATCTTCTTTACTGTTAAGGATCTACCCTAAGAATCAACTATTCCTCGTTCAACCATTCCTAAGGATCATCCTAAGGAATCGACACGAAGTCCATCGTTGCCACGGTTTACACAACGGGCACTAAGTCTGCATAGTCCCCAGGGTTTAGGCACTAAGTTTGCATAGTCGCCAGGGTTTAGGCATCAAGTCTGCATGATCACCAAGGTTTAGGCACCAAGTCTGCATGGTCACCAAGGTTTATAGTAGTACACCAGGTGAACACATCGTTCACAACACCTACAGGTTGCGAGCATGCTAGTGTTCCACTGGACCGTCTAGAATAGTTCGTGGTTGTCATCTATACTCTGCTGAATGACGAGCAAATCATTTGGGGAAAAAGGCTTCTCATATTTTACACCTCTCACCCATACCTCATGGTCTATATCACCTCTCAACTCATCGTCCAACTCATATTTCATCTATTATATCTACCCATGCTTTACCCCAACATTTTCGTAGATATAAAATACATATATAGTTTAAATCATTTAAAACATATATAAAAGCTTTCACCGAGCATAAACAGCAAGTAAACAGACAATAAGCACACATAGCACGTAGTAAATACTTCAATCTATGTGTAAGTTGAAAGGGACCATGCACTCATCTGGAAGGTGGTGACTCGGCACTCGAACAACGCTTCGTAACTTCTTAAAACAATTTCCCTCGACAAAACCTAGTATAAATACCACTAGGGTTTAGTTTTAACGTTAACCACGACTAATTAATAGTCTAGCTATTATTATTATTATATAAGCATTAAATAACACTCAATATAACACATAATAACAACCCAAATAACTATTTTAAGGACCTAATAACATTACTATAATTATCTGAAAGCTATATTAAAAATTGCGTAAGCGTATCTCACTTACAGCGGGTTTTCATGTAAACCAGAACTTTATTTGGAGCAGCGTTTCGAAACGGAAAGACTCTTTTTCTCAGGACTCCGGGACCCTCGGGGCTTCCTTAGGGTGCTAGGGGTTTTATCTAGGGTTTAGGAGTGTTTGGGACACTTAGAGATAGAAAGAAGTTAGAGAGAGTGTGAAGAAAGGTGTGAAAAATGTGGAACCCTCGTCCCCCTTTTATACCCAACGAGGCCTCGGATTACGCTGGGCGTAGTCCTTGGCTACGCTGGGCGTTCCTCGGATAAGGTTGCCAGCGGTGCACAGCTGGCTCGCACTTCAGACTCGGACCCGGATAAGACCAAAGGTATGTGGGGCATACTAGACCTCGTACGCGGGGCGTAGGGCGAAGCGACTTAACGTTCATCGGATGCGAGGCTGGCCTTCATCGGACGACTCAGATCGAGCCACATCATCTATCTCGCATCAGATTTTGTGATTTTCTACTCCGACTGCTAAAAATCATAACTTTTGGATACAAGCTCTGTTTTTGACGTTCTTTATATCCACGCGAAGGCAGGAACGTACTCTACAACTTTCATTTAGACTCCATCGGCTAATTTTGGCACGGTTTTAAATATTTTATCTTTAACAGGCCGGGACACGATTGGTTCGTTAAAAATTCATAACTTCTTTATCCGACATCCGCATCCGTGTGTCTTTTTATCGTTATCCTACTATTAATGAGATCTTCGATTCTCGTTTAGGTTGTGTCGTCTAAAAACCACTCGATCTAATATTCGAATTTCAGGCTGTACACTGTTATTCCGAAACTTCGAAAAATCATAACTTCCTCATACGAAGTCAGATTTGGGTGTTCTTTTTATGGACGTTCTTCGTTTAACAAACACTACGACTTTCATTTAGATCTATAAGTCTAAGTATCGAACTATCAAAATTTCACTATTTACGCTTCCCGGTTTCGTGCCGGTTCTGTCGCGAAACTTGGACGGGTCATAACTTCTTTGTTATAACTCGAATTTCGACGTTCTTTATATGTACGGAAACCTTGTAACATATACTACAACTTGGTTAAGATTAATCTTTCTAAGTAATCTTCCATCAAAAACTCATTTTTTTGATGCTCATTGTCTCTAAATTGACTAGCCCGGATCTACGGGCGTTACAATTATCTCCCCCTTAGGATGATTCCCGGAATCATCAACGAAATAGAGCTCACATGATGACTCCATATGTTGTCTCTTCATCCTAGGTAATAATCGTAACTTCTATGTCACTTCGAACAAGTATCTAACTCTTGGATTCCTTGTCTGCAATTGGTGCTCGATCGTGCACCGTCTCCCTATCTCACGCCAGATTCCAAATTATGACCTTAAAGTCACAATCTTGGTCCTTACTGGGGACTCCTTCTTCTCCTTAACATCTTAAGTTATTCTATTTCCACAATAGACCATTAGGTCACGTTGTAACGCTTAGACTTAGTTCTTTTAGAGTCAAATTACGGAATGGAATATACCTTCCTTCGTGTTCTAATGTGATATAATCACTTTTTAATATGTAGCATTTCTAGCTACCAACTTCTTTAACAACGAGCACAATACTTTTATTGATCGCTTTGATTGTCTTTCACTTCAAGCTTCTAGCTTAAGTCAGATGCTACACCGGACTTGGTTCTATAAACCATTTAACATACTCTTCTTAGTCGGACTCAATTTGATATGACCACTAGGGTCGGACTAACAATCATCTTCTTAGTCATTACTGAAAAAATGGTAACGACATACTTGAATAAAACGAAATAAATTATTGGTTTCTTGGTAACCTTGTGAGTCCTGTGCTTCCGGTAGCATATGCATCTACTAACTTTCACACCTACTCATACTCATCCCAAGTATTGTCTCGCAGTTTTCCAAGTCACCACACAAGAAAATCACATAACAAGTTAACACATCAAATAGCAAAACGAAGGCTTTATTATTTCCTTGAAACTATTACATAGGTGTTCAAGTTCACCCTAGACTATGCCTCTAATAGGCTACATCATATGATTCTATCCCCTTTGTTACTTCATAACTCGGTCTTCGGGTATGAATTCCTCATCCTTGACTCCTCGCATGGTTTTCTGCCTCGTCGAGGATCGTGTGAAATGCCCTTGGCCTTGGTGGCGTGTTTGGCTTTGCTGCCTCGTTTTTCTTTGGGCAGTCCCTAGAAATATGCCCTTCTTTGTTACATCCATAGCACACCTTCTTTTTGCACGCACACTTGTTGGTGTAATGCCTTGTCTTTCCACATCTGTAGCAAGTCACTTCCTCGCTACATTTCCCGAAGTGCTTCTTTTTACACTTCTCGCACCACTTGGCTTTGCGTCCTCCTCCTTCTTCAGTCTTTGAGAATTTCCCTTCTTTGCTGGATTTTGAAGATCCTTCATGCTTCCTTTTCTCGCCAACTTCATCTCTCTCGAGGCCCTTTTCCTTCAGCTGGATCTCCACATTTTTAGCTGCTCGAACAGCTGCTTTCAAGTAGTTTCCATCTTGACTGTTGGGCCAAAGTCAGCTGGCAGTCCATTTGCGAATTTCTCAATTTTAGAGAGTTCGGTTGGTACTATGTATGGAAACAATTCATCTTCTCCGTGAATGCAGTAGCATAGTCGTCAATGTTCATTCTCCCCTTCTTCAAGTTTTGGAATTCATTGTTTAGATCAACCAGATCTATCTCTGAACAGTACTGCATCTTTAGTTGTTCCAAGAACTCTTACCATGACATCTTCAGGGCTTCACCTCGTGACATCATATCCTCCAATAGATTCCACCAGCTCAAGACTCCAGTTTTTAGTTGTCTTACTACGAAGACGGTCTTTTGTTTCTCGCTACAGTTGCAGCTCTCGAACACCATCTCCATTTCGGGGATCCAATCCATAATCTCAACCGGCTTTGGGCTTCCAGAAAGACTTGGTGGCTTGGCACCCAAGAAATTCTTATACATTTGCCCACCCATGTCGTTTCCACTTTCCAAGCCATTCCTTCGTTCTCCTTGAGTCCCAACTTGACTTACTTGGCGGCTATAGTTCCCTTCCTCCGATTGCTCGGGAATCAGCTCGGGTTGCTCTATGGGCATGGTAGGTTCGTCGCTATTTAACATCCGCCTCATTTCTTCCTTTTGTTCTGCTAAGATAGCCAGAATCATGGCTTGTACTCCAGCCATGGTGATTTGTTCGGGTACATCTTCTACTACAACAGGTATTTGCTCAATTACTGGGGGTTGGTTTTTGTTTCTATTTGCGTTCACGTTTCCGCTACGGGTCATTGCCATTTTGATCTATACACCAGATCAGATGTTTAGTGCGAAATGACGAGAATTAAAATTGGAAATATTTTATTTACGATTGACGTGTAAATCTCCTTATCTCTCCGAAAAGTTACATGCCAGTTCTAATACCATAATTAAATGTTTAGAAACATGAACACGTAAAGTTTCCAGATCCAGTCAACAACAGACCATAGATCCGTTCATATAATGCATATCATAAATCATTTAGCACATAAAAGCATGTTAGGCATTTTTCCTAAATGAGCTAGTGCTTGTGTCTATTTAGGTGTACTCCATAAAATATATTAGACACACTCCTCACGATCATCGCTTAGCATTCTAAGTTTAAGTCTAGAAATAAATCCATATTCCTAGTTCGCTTAAACTAATGCTCTGATATCAACCGTGACATCCCCATTTTCACGGCCAGAAAAGCCCGATTTTGTTTATGCTTTATAAAAATCAGAGTACTTCATTTAACAAAAATGTTACGAAATTTGTTCCCAGAAAAACACGATAATTATGTTATTAAAACATTTTCGAAGAACGTATTTTATTCATTTTAAAATATTTGGGATGTCATCGTTAATACATAAACATAAGCATAAACAGAACTTACATTTATTTACACTAGTGATCTACATCTCTTTAAATCTCTCAGTGTCATGTGACTTCATATCAACACCTGTGATATAAACAAACTGAGTGGGTCAGGTTGGGAAACCTAGTGAGTACATAGGGTTTTCAACCCACAATAATATAATTATTACGTTTAAACAATCAAGCAATTAAACCCCATTACCCATCCCCATTATCTTCTTTACTGTTAAGGATCTACCCTAAGAATCAACTATTCCTCGTTCAACCATTCCTAAGGATCATCCTAAGGAATCGGCACGAAGTCCATCGTTGCCACGGTTTACACAACGGGCACTAAGTCTGCATAGTTGCCAGGGTTTAGGCACTAAGTCTGCATAGTCGCCAGGGTTTAGGCATCAAGTCTGCATGATCACCAAGGTTTAGGCACCAAGTCTGCATGGTCACCAAGGTTTATAGTAGTACACCGGGTGAACACGTCGTTCACAACACCTACACGTTGCGAGCATGCTAGTGTTCCACTGGACCGTCTAGAATAGTTCGTGGTTGTCATCCATACTCTGCTGAATGACGAGGATATCATTTGGGGAAAAAGGCTTCTCATATTTTACACCTCTCACCCATACCTCATGGTCTATATCACCTCTCAACTCATCGTCTAACTCATATTTCATCTATTATATCTACCCATGCTTTACCCCAACATTTTCGTAGATATAAAATACATATATAGTTTAAATCATTTAAAACATATATAAAAGCTTTCACCGAGCATAAACAACAAGTAAACAGACAATATGCACACATAGCACGTAGTAACTACTTCATATCTATGTGTAAGTTGAAAGGGACCATGCACTCACCTGGAAGGTGGTGACTCGGTAATCGAACAGCGCTTCTTTACTTCTTAAAACAATTTCCCTCGACAAAACCTAGTATAAATACCACTAGGGTTTAGTTTTAACGTTAACCGCGACTAATTAATAGTCTAGCTATTATTATTATTATTATATAAGCGTTAAATAACACTCAATATAACACATAATAATAGCCCAAATAATTATTTTAAGGACCTAATAACACTACTATAATTATTTGAAAGCTATATTGAAAATTGCGTAAGCGTATCTCACTTACAACGGGTTTTAATGAAAACCGAAACATTATTTGGAGCAGATTTTCGACACCGAAAAACTCTTTTTCTCCGGGCTCTTGGAGCCTCTGGGCTTTCTTAGGGTGCTAGGGGTTTTATCTAGGGTTTAGGAGTGTTTAGGACACTTAGAGAGAGAGTGAAAAAAGGTGTGAAAAATGTGGAACCCTCGTCCCCCTTTTATATCCAGCAAGGCCTCGGATTACGCTGAGCGTTCCTCGGATAAGGTTGCCAGTGGTGCACAACTGTCTCGCACTTCGGACTCGGACTCGGATAAGACTGAAGGTACGCGGGGCGTACTGGACCTCGTACGCGGGGCATAGGGCGAAGCGACGTGGCGTTCATCGAATGCGAGGCTGGCCTTCATCGGACGGCTTAGATCGAGCCACGTCATCTATCTCGCATCAGATTTCGTGATTTTCTACTCCGACTTCTAAAAATCATAACTTTTTCATACAAGCTCCGTTTTGACGTTATTTATATCCATGCAAAGGCGGGAATGTACTCTACAACTTTCGTTTAGACTCCGTCAGCTAATTTTGGCTCGATTTTAAATTTTATATCTTTAACAGGCCGGGACACGATTGGTCCGTTAAAAATGATAACTTCTTTATCCGACGTCCATTTCCGTTTGTCTTTTTATCGTTACGCTACTATTAACGAGATCTTCGATTCTCGTTTAGGTTGTGTCGGCTAAAAACCACTCAATCTAATATTCGAATTTCGGGTTGTACATCGTTATTCCGAAACTTCGAAAGATCATAACTTCCTCATACGAAGTCAGATTTGGGCGTTCTTTTTATGGAATTTACTCGTTTAACAAACACTACGACTTTCATTTAGATCGCTAAGGCTAAATATCGACCTATCGAAATTTCACTATTTACGCTTCCCGGTTTCGTGCCGGTTTCGTCGCTAAACTTCGACGAGTCATAACTTCTTCGTTATAACTTGGATTTCAGCATTCTTTATATGTACGGAAACCTTGTAACATGTACTACAAGTTGGTTAAGATTAATCTTTCTAAGTAATCTTCCATCAAAAACTCTTTTTTTTATGCTCATTGTCTCTAAATTGACTAGCCCGGATCTACGGGCATTACAACATAATCCTTTGACATCTGAATACTACAGTTTGCTATCGGTGAGTTGTCAAAGTTTTTGTTAGATGTTGCTAGAATTAGTGTACGTTCAATTTCAGCCTCATTATCATACCAGCATTGAGATTGTATTGGTTCATCTGATGCTGAAACTTCATTAAATAGATCATTTAATTTGTTTTTCCATTCTTTGACCAATTGATTCTCAGGGTATTTCTTGACAGTATCATTTATTTTATCTTCCAACACTTTCTTTTGATGCATGAGCATGTCGTGCATCACCTTTATTGTTTAAAGAGTTGCCTATTAAAGTCAACATGATGTGATTACGGTACATAGCAAATAAAGAACATCAATAAGTCATGGTGTATTAATTAATACTATAGTAATTCATAATTCACATATGAATAAGTATTAAAGTACCTCAACTGTTTCCCCACTTCCACTGAAAATTTCCCCTCCTTGATTTCCCTACGAAAATTAATAAATTAATAGTTTGTGTATTTATCTTAATACTATATATAAATCAATTATGATTACATTAGTTTACCAAAAATATTCACTTTTTGAATTTAATAATTCAATACATGTATTTATTAGTTTAAAAATTCAACATATTATTTATTAATGATTATATCATATTAATACCATAAACCATCCATGACTTATTTTCACACTTCTTGCATCAGTTGCCTGTCAATATGTATGAGTATACTTAATCTCGATTAAACAAAATAATAAAGTATGTCTGATATGCATTATTGAATATAATAAGATAGTACATGAACGTTTTCTTGAACTACATTACCAGAACCAGCTGATTCATTGATGACTTGAAATGGTTCTTGCAATTCACCCATACCCAAACCTATTGTCCTACACTCGACTCTTTCTCGCTCACACAGTTTATCAACATTCCAAAAATATATTGCTGGTCTGCCTCGTACAATCTTTACGTAATCGCATCGTACACTTTCTACATATAGTAGCTACAATAAACACAAATAAATATTTTAGTAAGTAAATACACTTTAATGAATGTCTACATGTAAGTAAATATAGCTATCTGAATTTTATACGAAATCATACCAAAAGAAATATAATTGGCCCAATATAGAATCTTTTTTTGTTGTTTGGATTCCATGCACTATTTGTGTCCTTAAGGCAATCAAAAACATATCCACACCAATCGATGTCACTTAGATCCAAGTCTTTTGTAACTTTTGATAACATGGAAAGGTCACATGTTCCCATGCTCATTGACTGACCTAGTGTATTACAAAGCAGAAAAAAGATGTTTACTTTAAAAAGTAAATTTGCACGTGTTGTTTGCATAATAGCTTGTTGAACTGCCATTGGTCTAATATTATCTTCATCATCGAATTGTTTCTTCCAAACAGTTATCGCGTCGTCTGTAACTTGTCTATAAACCATCGACTTTATTGCAACATTCCCTAGAGGCAGACCCACCAATTCGTGAATAAGCTCCCAATTTATTAGTATATCACCATGATGAAGATTGAGCACCATCCTATCTGAATCAAAATTCCTTACGGTATAATGCCCCATAATTGATGCACACCCATCCAATTTCATATTCAACAAATGCCCCAGACCAATAGAAGAAATATATGATTTCTGTTCCTCGCTAAGGTTATGCATACAACTGTACAACACATTTGGTGATGTGCGTACCTGTATTCACCTTGCTTCTTCTGCATCATTTGCTACAAATTTAGGCACTTTCCTTGCTTTCCCTGCATTTCCTTCTTTATTCTTTCTCCTTTTTTGTACAACTTCATTTTTACATAAATTTTTCACATCTTCTTTATCTTCATGTTTGAATGAATTATCATGCATTCTTTTTTCCTAATAACCACAGGTTGAGCATCTTCAAAATATGAATCTTCATTGTCATCAAACTTCTTTATATTTAGCTTACTTCTCAGATCATGTTCTCCTATTAAGACATATATAACAAAATAAATGATTATAACTAAATAATGAAATAAACTTCTAATAAATTTAATTTAAACTAATTCATTACTTGAATATGAGTTTAAAACAACAACTTCATCGCCCTTTATTTTACAACTATCGAACCATTTTTTTGTTGTCAGTTCATTTTCCCTATGTATTTCATTTTCTGTTGTCGTGTCAACACTTTCATTCAAACCTATCAAGATGTAGATAATATAATGGGCAAATGTCATTTTTGCCCATCAAACTTTTCGTGTTTGTTTTAAAAGGTCCCCAAACTATTTTTTTTGCACATTAAAGAAATATACTTTCATTTATCTGTTATAAAATACCCTTATGTTACCTTCTACCGGGTTGAAAGGTAATATACATGCCATGAGGGAAAATGTCGGTGACACGTCATTTAATGAAATGGCCATGTGTGTTATAGTTATATTAATTTTGTATAAAGTAAACCGTTCGCGCTATACAATCCCTTTCCCTCATTGAAGAAACGCCTCCTCATTAAAGAAAACCCTCGTCATCCCACCATAGTAACTGAAGATCGATGGCTATATTCCTCTCTATCAAATTTCATTTCCAATGTGTGTTCATCAACAAACCTTTTTGCTATTCTGATGGTGCTCATCATGTGTTCGAGAACGTCGATTTTGTTGGTATGTCATATAATGAGTTTGTGGGTTTTCTTGAACGATTCATACAAGAGAAGTGTGAGAAAGTTTATTATTGTCAACCTGATTTACAAATCCTAGAAGGTTTAACCTTAATTTCAAACGAACGTCAATATCAAGAATTTATAGACATTGCTTATGAATGTTGAGTACACGTTTATGTTTACATGGACCATTTTAGTACTACTGTGCATGTAACGAAGGCAAATGAAAATGAAATTGAGGATAATTGTTTTGTCAAGACAAATATGTCAATTGAAGGGGAAGAAGGTATTGACCTAACTGAAATTAAGAGTCCACAAGAAACCAACATGGAAGGATTAACCTATGAAGGAGTAAGTCAGGGTAATGGAATGAGGAGGTCATAGAAGATGATACTAAAGATGATGAAGATGATAATGTCCCAGATGTGAAAGGAAAACCGATGTTTAATGAAGATATACCTTGGAAGAAGTAGTTGCCAATTCTAGGTATGAGGTTCACCAACCCTAAACAGTTAAAATTTGTGATTTGTAATTATGGTGTATCAAATGGATATCAATAGTACTTTGAAAAAAACGACAGTAAAAGGTTATTGGTTAAGTGTAGTAATGGTCAATGCACATTTAGGCTTTGAGCATCATGGATGAGTGAGGAGCACTCTTTCCAAATGAAGTCCCTTAGCATTTACCACAATTGTTCAAGAAATTTTAAATTAGGGTCAATTGTTAATTACAGATGGAATGGTAGTCATTTCACCGGAGAAGTGCTTGAGAATCAGAAATTCAATGTTAGGATGTTAAAAGAGGAAGTAAAGACTAAATTTGGCATAGTGGTTAGTATGGGACAATGTAGGAGAGCTAAGAAACATGCAATGTCTCTTGTTGAAGGTACCACAGTGGAAAATTATGCAAAGTTGTGGTCCTATGGTGAAGAGATAAAAATGTCTAATCCAGGGTCAACGGTCAAGTTATCTGTGAACTCTATGCCAGATGGGAAAACTTACTTTAGTAGGACATATATATATATATATATATATATATATATATATATATATATATATATATATATATATATATATATATATATATATATATGTTTTCATGCACTAAAGGAGGGTTAGAGAAGTGGCTGTAAAGGGATAATAAACTTAGATGGGTGTTTTCTAAAAGGAATGTGTACTGGTAAGTTATTATGTGTTGTTGGTAGGGATGGTACCAATCATATATACCCAACAGCTTGGGCTGTAGTTTGTGTTGAAAATAAAAACAACTGGAAATGGTTCTTACAAAACTTGCAAGAAGATCTGCATCATGAAGGTGGTTTTGGTAGAACATTGATGTCAGATCAACATAAGGTATGTTTCTAATTTATAATTTCATACCTACTTTCTTTTAAATGTGATATAATTTTGAATAGTATGATGATATAAATGCAGGGGATAACTGAAGCTATGAAAGATTTATTTCCAGAGATAGAACATAAGGAATGTGCCAGGCATGTTCTTTCAAATTTCAAGAAGAAATTCCCTGGGGCTCAATATTAGAAACTATTTTGGAAGGCTTGTAAGGCCTCACCTGAACCTCTTTTCAATTCTGCAATGAAAGAGATTCAAATGATTAGCCCTAATGCTTATGTGTATCTGATGGGAAGGAATCCAAACTCATGGCCAAGAGCATTTTTCCAAATAGGAAGGGGGTGTGATGCAGTTGAGAATGGGTTGTCTGAAAGCTTTAACAATGTTATATTGGAGGCCAGGAAGAAGCCAATTGTTACAATATTGGAAGATACTAGACTATATGTGATGCAAAGGATGTGTAGTTTGAGGCAAAAACGAAGTGGATAGGGACATTTTGATGTATGTCCAAACATAAGGCTTGCCCTAAATGAATTGAAGACCCAACAAAGGTATTTTATTATATGAACACCATAATTGAATTGAATATCCAGTCAAGGTATTTAATTACCCCTGTTAACTTTGATTATTTGTAGGTACTGGCAAGTGCTTCCTAGTGGCCTAAATACATTCGAAACAACAAATTTAGGAGAGTCTTATGGAGTTGATCTGGAAAAGGAAACATGTACATGTAGGATTTGGCAAATGAATGGGTATGGTTGTGTACACTCAGTGGCAACCATTATTAATGTAAATAGAGATGTAGAGGCATTTGTTGATCCTTTATATCGTGCTTGCATATATATGAACACCTACAAGTACACAATTGGAAGCATGAATGGGAGTGCAATGTGGCACCCAATAGACTACATACAACCTTTGCCACCATTGAAAAGGAAGATTCCATGGAGACCCACTATTAAGAGAAAGAGGGATAGTATTGAGGTTACTGGATCACACAGAGTATCCAAGGCAGGCAAAAAGATGTTCTGTGGTGTTTGTAAGAAATCAGGCCACAATAAGTCAACATGTGATGCAGTGTTAAAGCCTAAAAAAAGTCAGGTGAAAAAGAGGAAGGCTGAAGGTGAAGGTGAATCTAGTGCACTAAAGAAAAGGAAGGGTCAAGGAAAAAATGGGAAGGGAAAGGGTGAAGGTGATACTGGAAGTGGAATTGGTTTAAAAATGGGAGAAGGTGAATGTGGGTCAACAAGTGGTGTGACTAAGAAGAATGGTAAAGAATTAGGTACATTGAAATTAAGAAAAAAGTCAAAGAGGATAATAAAGAAAAAGTTGGCCAAAAAGGTTGCAGGCAAAAATGGTGAAGGTGATACATCAAGCAAACCAATGGACTTGGATTAAAGATGTTTTTGGAGTATGTTAGTTATGGTGCAAGGTCTTAAATTAAAGGTGTCTTGTTGTTATGGTCTTATTTAGTATGTGAATGTGTCTTGTTTAGTTTGTTTTCTGTTTGTAACATGAATGTTAGTTTCTTTAGTTTAAAACATAACATGAAAGTATTTTATAATTGTACTTCCAATGCAATTCCACATAACAATGGACTTGAATTATAACAATGTACTTCCATTTGGTACATTTCATTACAAACCATACTACAAGGGGAAATTGAAGTCCTGCAACATACGACCTTCACATTTGGTACATTTCATTACAAACGATAACATCATATGCAAAGCAAAACAAAGGTTATAATAGGAACTACATTTCATTTCATTCATCCATTACAACAGAGGTTATTGTCTTAACAAAAACCCCCCAAAATTTGGTTCTAAACACCATTACATCCTCAATGGGCACCATTGTTCAAAACAACCAACAACACATAACCTAATACATACATATATACTAGCAAATAACGGAATTAGACAAAAAGACACAACCTTCGACAACCCTGATAACCCAAAAGAGACTAATCGCCATCGTGCTAGCTACGAACTAAACTACACCCACCAAAATCCCCATCTACTGCATTCGACGCAAACACAAACCCAAATCAACGACATCACTGCAACTCCAACAACACCCGTCATGGTCACTTTCCTTTTCAAGTTGCGTATCTCCTCCCTAAAGTCGCCAAGCTGTTGTCGCATTTCATCTCGCATTTCCTCAATCAACACTTGGGTTTCCAAGGCATGAATTTCATCATTAGTTGGTAAGTCTAGATCCGAATCTCTGAAACCACCATATGAGAAGCTTTGTTCTGAGGCCATCTTCTTGATTTATAGGTGGGAAAAAAAGCGAAGTCGATGATGTGAATGTTATGGATTAGGGTAACAAAGTGGTGGGGAAGACGGATTTAGGGGAAGACGGTTTTATAAGGGGACCATTAGCAATGACTTGCCAATTCTTGGGGACCAAGATTTCAATAGTTATATTCCACGGTGGTGTCCATGTCACAAAAATAGGGGATAAACCTTTTAAAATCGGTAAAGGGATGTAATTAAACGGTCAAATGAAAGTATATTTCTTTAATGTGCAAAAAAAATAGTTTGGGGACCTTTTAAAACAAACACGAAAAGTTTGATGGGCAAAAATGACATTTTCCCTAATATAATCATTACTGAATACATTTTGATATAAAACTTTTATTACATGAAAACATCATTAATACCTGTTTGTTTATTTTTTTAGATGTTTAATCGATTGTCTTTTCTGCAACAAACTTCTTCACCTTCACTTTGGTTTTCATAGTTTCTTCTATTAATACATATAAAACAATATAAACGATTATAACTAAATACCAAAATAAACTTCAAATAAATTTAATTTTTAACTAATTAATTACTTGAACCTGAGTTCAAAACTACAACTTCAAGACCCTTTCTTTTACAAATGTCAAACCGTTTTTTTGTTCGCATTTCATTTACCCTTTGTATCAAATTATCTGGTGTGCGGTTTACGTGTTCATCCAAACTGGTCAAGATAATAAGTAACACAATCAATATAGATTAGAATTGGTAATTAACATTTTCAATCTCGTGTAATCATCATTACTACTTGTTTGTTTTTTAATTTTCTTCTTAGGTGTTGAGTATTTCTTTTGTATTTGTCTTTTAATTCGACGTTGTTCTGTTTCGTTTCCTCGATGGTCTTCATCTTCCATATCAATAAGCACTGGATTGGATTCTTCATTAGTTAATTTGCTGAATGTTGTCTTTAGTAATATCCTCTCGCTTTTCTTTCTACCTAAAAATAATATTAAAATAACACATTCATTGATCAATCACCAATGAATCATTAATTACTAAATCAATTATACATGGTCACTAATAAACACATATTCAATCAAACAAATACTCAATGACAAAGTAATGTCTAAAAAAATCAAAACTAAAAACAACCTACTGAATGAATACTACTATATAAAACCACACTTTCCCATCAATAAATATTAAATACATATTATTGAATAAAAAAAATCATAAATGAATATAAAAGACATAACAGATACTATCAATGTAATGCTAGTATACTTAAACTCCATTAAAAATCACTTACTTTCATAGCTTAATCACCAATGAATATAACAATCACAACTGAATACCAAAGTATATCTAAATTTGTTAAACGTAACCAACAATGATTATCACCACTTAAGAAACAGTGTAAACCATTTGGTCACATACACCATTATTCATTAGTTACTACATCATTCATAGGATCATAAACACATATTTACTCAATCAAGTACATAATCACAGGCCAAAATGCATTTAACAATCAAAACTAAATACAACCTAAACAAGGAATAATACTACAAACGGAGTTCTCTACTATAAACAATAATACTTTACAATATAATCAATATTGAATCCATATAGTTCCTTTCATAAGTCAATAAAAAAAATCATTTTCGAATTAAAATATCATTAGTGCATATAAAACACATAAAATATGCTATCAATGTCATTATTTTGCACTTAAACACCATTCAATCTTGATTAGTAAAATTAATTATTCCTGTTCTGGTAATCATCAACTACTTCATTTGAACTTCAACAACAGAGTCTAAAAGAAAATTTAAAGAACCCTAATTTTAGGGTTTTCACAATCGTGCTTAAATTGAAAGAAGTTAACTACGAATACACATTCATCGACAAGACCAACTTTCAAATATAATTATAAACAAATATTCATAAGTGAATTTGATATTAGACGATTGAAAAATTGAAAAACAACTACGATTATCAATTTCGATTACACATTCAGAGACAAGATCGGTTTTTTCGAAATTTAATATTTTAAACAACATTCATTTACGATTTTGCATCACTGCACTTCATACAAGACGATATAACAAAAAAATCAAAATCCCTACTTCTAGGGTTTTCAGAATCAATTAAAATGTAAAGAATCAGTAAAATGAAATCAACGATTATACTCCTTTTCCAGTTATACCCTATTCATAATAGATTAGAAAGCTTACTTTTTCCACTGAGGTTCATAATCGACGACATTCCTTCACCTTCAACCTTTCACATACTCCAGAATGCACACAAAGTGTTTACGGAAGAACAGTAACAATCGACTATCGTATAAATGTTTATTTTTGAGATTATTTTGCATTGCAGATGTAGATACGATCGAATCCTCTCAAAGACTGTGATAACTAAAACATAAGAATAGTTTCTTGAATTGTATCACTTACCCGATATATTCGAAATGGATGACATCCTAAAATTACTTGAATACCCTTTTCTACTTTTTTTTTTTTTAATTCAAAAACAAATTAAAAGCATTTAATTTTATTTTAAAATTAATGATTAATGATAGCCTTAGATTTAGAAATTTTAATGTACTAGATTTGTTCTCGTGTTGTCAACCTTTTAGGTGTTCTAATTTGATCATTTCTCTCTCTCTCTCTCTCACTCTCTCTCTCTCTCTCTGTGTGTGTACATATATATATATATATATATATATATATATATATATATATATATATATATATATATATATATATATTATATTTTATTATAATTTTTTGTATTTTGTAATTTATATGCATATAAAGTCGTTTCATATATTTTATCTATAAATAGATAAAATATCTCAATCAAAATTTATCCCTAAACCATTGTTACTTTTATTTAAAGTTCTTGTTATTACATCTTCTAAAATGGATCCAAGATCATCTTCAACAAAGAAGGTTAAATACAACCGTAGCTACACAAACAAGAATTTTCCAGGCTGAGATTTCATTCTTTTTAAAAAATCGACTTGACAATGCATCAAATATCATCACTGATCTGAAGATTGAAAATCTCTTCGCTAATCTTGATATTGGTCACAGAGACAAGAAAGTTAAAGTGTTGGAGGATATCCAATCCCAATCAAAACACGTTGTTACTTAGAAAGAGGAACAAAAAAACATTTTTTACATGAATGTAATGGATCAAGTGTAAATATTTCCAGCAATATATATATATATATATATATATATATATATATATATATATATATATATATATATATATATATATATATATATATATATATATATATATAGCTGCCATTTAACATTGTATTACATCAAAAGTTGCAGGTCGGGAATATGACTTACCGAAAGGAAGGATATACAAAAGAAAACCAAAGAACATATGATTTATGTTTTAATGGGAAGTCCTCATAGAGAATGTACACGTTTGGAAATAATTTTTTATTTATTATTATATTTAGAATCAACACAATTTTAACCATGATAAACGAAAGTACCAACTTAAAGTGCTACATATGTTAGTTTAAAAAAGTATAAATCACAAACCTGAAATGAGCTTAAGGGTAGGTTTGTTACAATGGGACATTTCGGATGATGCGGATAAAGGGGCCATTAACGTCTTTTGCACAGACGAAAGATCGGATGGGGAGCTAGTCAATGGGTCACCTTTTTCCATCAATTTTTGGTGGACAAAAAACATAACTCTTTGTATATCCGGTCTATCAAAAATGTCATAGATGGTGTTTTTTTTTTTTAGGAAAAATAAACTTTTTAACCTCTAATTTCTACTGTGGAAAAACATTTGAGGAAAAGACTATTTAAAAAATAATTCACATCTATTCCCACAAGAAAAAAAAAATTAGTTTTTGTTTTTGAAAGATGTTTTCTAAGTTCCAAACTTATGTGATATTTTTTTCACACGCCAATCTTGCCATCACTGCTGCTACCACCTCCGCCCATTGCCCACCGCCGCCAACGCCGCTACCACCATCGATGTCGCTGCCGCTACCACCATCACCGTTGCACTCAGCGCCACCACCACCACCACCACCACCACTCTTTCTTTCTTTTTTTTTTCTTTTTTTTTTTTTTTATATGAAGACTTTAAAAAACAAACATTTTTTTATGAAGAGAAAAGACATGGAAAATTATTTTTGGTCCACATTTTATTCCACAAACATGGAAAAAGACCGAAAACATTTTACATCTTCAAAAGCAAACACCAAATTAATATTTCGACTTTTTTCAGATGCTAATTGATTTTTCTTACCTACGCCTTATGCGATACCAGATTATCATGACCGAAGCAGCAATGGCCAAACCCGCAATGGTTTGTGGCAACATGTTACTCTTATTATTCTTCTTATTCATGTAGACGTAGTAAAGAGGAAAAGGTGGCCTTTTTATGAATCCTAACTCGGAGAGTTTCTTATGTGATATTGCATACTGCTCCAGGAATGAATTTGGATTCTACAAACAATGATTCAACATAAACATAAACTTTTAAATTTGTATTGAGATGATAAAATACGAAATAAAACCAAATATATAATACCTAGAAAATAAACTACATTACTATGATGCCTATGTGGTAGCAAAATGCAAGTATTTTGCTATTATAGGTATATATAATGTACATTGCTATATTATTAAGACATAAAACAAAGTACATTGTCCATACATGGTAGCAAGGGTAAAGTAGCTTGTTTTTCAATATACCTTCAATGGCTTAGTAAGAAAATGTTGAAAGCACAATGTTGTAATATAAAGAAATGAAAGTATGATGCCATAATAAACCAAATAAATGAAAGTGTGTTGCCAATTCTTGCAATTAGAATTCTATACCTTGGCATATGTAATAACATACAAGCGAAACCAAGCATTAGTCATCAATAATCGATCTGAAGGAAGCAGTAACAACCCCTCCGGCTCTTCGTTCAGCAAGTTCGCCAACCTTTTTCCTTGGAACCCTTGCAACGCCCATGGATCCAGCTTCATGAACTCATCCTTGTGCGCTTTCAGCAGCTCCCTAGTTTCAAGAGTCGTTTGTTATATTAAACAAAGATATTGATAAAAGTATAAATATTTATGACATATACATGCATGCTTTCCAAAAACTTGGTGCTATCGAGTATTAAGAAAATATGTGAATGTATTTCGATTTATCATAAAATCCTACTTTCATTTTTTTCTATTACAACATTGTATTTTGAAAAATCTTCCCAATTATAGGAAAGTAAACTAAATACAAAGCAATTTTCACTAATATAATTGAAAAGATTTTTCTAATTATAATGTCCAAATAAGAAAAAAAAATAAAGTACAATACTATGATTCAGTAGACTTTGTTCTGATGCATAGCAGTACAATGTTGTACTAGAAAGGAAAAAAATTGGATGCTATAAGTACATAAATAAATGAAAGTAATTTGCCATTTCTTTCGATTAGCCTATACAAAATTATAATTTGTAATGTCCCTTAAAACAATCAACAAGCCTTACTTAAAGTATGAGTTATCAAATTTGAGGGGCTTTCCAATCCAAGGTCCATCAAAGTCTGATCTATCTTCTTGGGCTCTATCCTAATGAGGCCAAAAAACAAACCAAATGATTAACGCGAAAATGTTTCATATAAATGCATAAAAGATGTAATTGTTTTTTAGGGCATTATAACTTAACAAATAATATGGATTATTTTTCAAAGTATAATGCCCTAATACGAAAATGGTTTGAAAAAATTTACTAGTACAATGTCATTATAAAAAAAATTAGGATTGCTATTTCTTGTATGTAGACCATCTCCAAAGTCCAAACAAGTAAGATGAAAAATTACAAGAATATGGCCTCCCCAAAGAACTACAATGTCCCTGTCGCTGCATAAGCCCATGCGATTAAACTTGGCCCTCAGATCTGATGCGCCTACCATAAGTTTAAGAATAAAACTAATGTTAAACATTAGTATACAGTTAAGGCTGAATTCGGCGTGCCAAAAATAGTTGATAAGCTAGCTTATTTTTTGATTTTTTTTAATTGTAATGTTTGACAAGTCAAAACGTGGTTGATGAGCTAGCTTTTTGAAAAGCTACTTAGAGTATCTTTTTGGGAGTTTTTTTACAAACGTCATTTTTTGTCAGCTAGCAGCTAGGGTTTTAGCTCGTCTGCCAAACATAGCCTAATGATGAAGAATAACACTTTATGTAAGGCTTAGATACAAGATATGACCATATACTTTCATTTATTTGTGTATTATGATATCATACTTTCACTTCTTTCTATTACAATTGTATTTTCTTATTAAGACATTGAACTTTAAAAAATCAACCCAGTAATGCATTTTCATGTTTTTTCTTACTAAGACATTGTACATTTGGAATTTTAACCTATTATAACAGTAAGAATTGCTTTGTATTTTCTTGATATTGCTATAGTTGGAGAGATTTATCAATGTACAATTCTATTATAGGAATACATGAAAGTAGGATTCTACAATAAAGAAACCAATGGAAATGAAGCTTTTTTCTGCTAATCGGAAAATTATATACTTCCTAAACAACAATATTGATACGATTTAGAAGTTTATTATATTTATCTCTCTAGTAGTATGACACACATCAGTGAATTAACTTTAGTGAAAAACAACCTAGATCTTTATATGAGATGAAGAATGAGTGTATGATTCAAAACCTTTTTCAGCATCCGGGAGTCTGCCTTCTGCCGTCCATTCCTCCGAATCCTACATGAAACACAAAATATGTAAAAGCTATAAGAATAATCCTCTGGTATATATATATATATATATATATATATATATATATATATATATATATATATATATATATATATATATATATATATATATATATATGAAGATCTAAAAATTTAGAAAGTTTGAATTTATAAGGAAAGAGAAAAATATATAACTATTAAAATTGAATTGCATATATATTTTTTTTAAAATTTAAACAAATAATTTAAATAAATAAACAATTAAAATAATTGTGTTCAATTTAGAAATTTAGTAATTATAAAGAAAGTTGTATTAATGAATTAGATATGCATTTATTAGTACATTTATTACATTTAAATATTATTTGGAATTCAATAAATGGAAAAAAAAACCCCCACAAAATGAGATGAATATAATTTAATATAAATTTACCACTATATAGCATGTGACATAATGCATGAAAGAATAACAAGTGACAAAAATGATGTGTGTGATAAGAACCTACAGATGTATGTAAGAAAGAAGTCGCTTGTTAAGAGACAAGAGCAAGAGCAGTTTAAGGCCCTTTTTGGAAATAAGTTGGATCCTTTAGGTCAACCACGTTACAGTTAAAACAGAAGTAACAGTTCTGATCCAATAAGTTAGGAGCAAGTATCTTTTCTGTAATAAACCTGTAGTTGATGTTTTTCAGTTGTGAGTCAGATAATAAGTTATTTGTGTTCTTGTAAACAAGGAGATTTACCATCTCGAATTTGGCCCTATTAATCTAAGTAGTAAGCATTCAACTATTTAATTTAATCAGTTCCTATCAATTGGTTCCATTGCTGGGAAACTTCTTGAAGACATGGTGCATACCCGGAGCAATTCAGAAGAGGGAAACCAACCACCAGAACCTGTAGCAGTGCAACTAGCCGCAATCGCCAAGAAGTTGGATTCTATAGATTTGTTGCTGAGGGAGGTAGCAGCCCTCAAATCTCAATTGCACAATAAAGAAACATAGGTTAATGGTAGACAAGATGAGGGAGATTCATCTTGGCATAATCAAAGGCACCGACCCCATAAAAAAAAAAGTTTTTCCTACCTTTAGTGAAGGAAATCCACGGGGTTGGATTCTTAAAGCAGAGAAATATTTATGCTATTATGACATTCCATATGAAGAAAAAGTGGATGTCACATCGATACATTTGGAGGGTGATGCATTGGATTTTTATTCTTGGATATCTACTGATCAATCAGCAGATTTTTGGGAGGGTTTTGTTCGAGCCTTGCAAAGAAATTTTGGACCCACTGAGTTCCAGAATCCGGATGAATTCTTGTGTAATGTTAAACAAACAGGAACGGTACAATAATACGGACAAGAATTTGCCAAACGATCTTCACGGGTGTCCAATTAATTGAAAATTTGTCTTTTAGGAGTGTTCCTTAACGGCCTCAAAGAAGAATTGAAGGAGGATGTACGAATACAGAAACCACAAACAGTATACAAAGCGGTAAGTATCGTTTTAGAATTTGAATCTAAACTCAGCCATACCCGATTTGGGAGAGGATCTACTTGGACAACACCATCAAAAGCATCTCAAAATGAGTACAAAGATATGACTCCAACAAAAAAAAAACTTTTCCAAAAATAATACCAAACCACCCTTGCGAATTTCTGATGTAGATAGGCAATCTCGATTTCTTAAAGGGGAATGTTTTCGGTGCGGTGAAATTATGGACCAGGTCATCGATGTAAAATAGGAACTCTCAAGGTGCTGGAAGTGGAAGAAAAGATTGAAGACTAGTCTCCTAATGAAACTGGAGAGATGGTTGAAGATATGAATGATGTGGCAGAGGTTAGTTTACATGCCATTCTTGGAAACCCCCCATCCCAGAACTATAAAGGTTCAAGGTATGCTCCAATCTACAGAAGTAATTATTTTAATTGACGAGGGATCAACACATAATTTCATCTTAGATGTACTAGTTAAGGAATTGCGACTTAATACTCAATCAGTGGCACCGTTTGGTGTTCAGATTGGAAATGGTGATTTCATCAGATGTGGTCAAATATGTAAAAACCTTCCAATATAAATCAATGATATTAAAGTTGTCCAGGACTTCTATCCTTTTTCGATTGGTGGAGTAGATTTGGTTTTGAGTATTCAATGGTTGGAGATATTAAATACAGTCCAAGCAAATTGGAAACAGATGTTTATGATTTTTAAGGTAGATGGTAAAACTTATAAGTTGCAGGGAATTACTACAGGTTCACAAAAGTCTTCTAGTTTTTAATACTTGGCTATTGAACCGGTTAATCCACCAGAAATTCCCAAGGTGCTTCCATCGGTGACCAGCCGATATGATCAGGTCTTTGAAGAACCCAAAAGTCTTCCTCCGAACCATTCACAGAACCATTATATTCCCTTACTACCGAATTCTACACCCTCCCCCCCAATATTTGTCATTATCGATACCCTCATTCCCAAAATGCTGAAATTCAAAAAAAAAAAAAAACAAGTGGAAGCATTGTCAACAGCGGGATTTATTCAACCTAGCAACAGTCCCTTTTCAAGTCCGATTCTACTTGTCAAGAAAAAAGTCAGCACTTGGAGGATGTGTGTAGATTATCGAGCCCTCAATAAAATAACGATCGTCGACAAATACCCAATTCCAAATATTGATGAATTGTTGGACGAATTATATGGAGCTACAGTTTTTTTCAAGCTGGACCTTCGCTCCGGTTACCATCAGAACAGAGTTCATGGACCGGACATTCCAAAAACAGCTTTTCGTACTCCTTCCGGGCATTATGTGTTTAAGGTAATGCCCTTTGGTCTAACTAACGCCCCTTCCACGTTTCAGGCGATCATGAATGACTTGTTCCATCCTTATTTACGTCGTTTTATACTAGTTTTCTTTTATGATATAGCAGATAGCCCAACATGGAATAACATCTTTTGCACCTTGAGCAAACTTTGAAATTACTACATGATCATCAGTTCTATGTTAAGCTTTCAAAGTGTTGTTTTGGACAATCTAAAGTTTCTTTTTTGGGGCATATCATAACCGAGGATGATTTACAAGTGGAACAGGAAAAAAATTATGGTTGTACAATCGTGGCCCATCCCTTCTAATGTTAAAGAAGTTCGTGGTTTTCTCGGTCTCACTGGTTATAACCGACGTTTTGTACGAAGTTATGGTTTGATTTCACTACCTTTGACTAATCTTACAAATAAGGATGGTTTTATGTGGTCTAACGAGGCATTAGATGTGTTTACCACATTGAAACAAGATCTACTTTCAGCCCCTGTTCTCCAGTTACCAGATTTTTCCAAGACATTTGTAGTTGAATGTGATGCTACTTCAGCTGGAATTATTGCTATTCTTTCTCAAGAGTAGCATCCCATTGCTTACTTTAGCAAAGGATTTTCTCCCTCCAACCGATTTAAGTTAGCATATGATCGAGATATGTTAGCTCTTGTTCTTGCTGTTCAGAAATGGAATCACTATTTATTGGGTCGTCACTTTCTTATTCGCACCGATCATTACACTTTAAAATTTTTGTTGGAACAATGCATCAATGCCACTGAACAACAGCGAATTTTACTCAAATTAATGCCCTATGATTTTTCTATAACTCATAGAGCTGGAAAAGAGAACAAGGGAGCGGATGCACTCTCTAGACGAACCCATTCAGGTGAACTATTCATCCTTTATGTACCCTATTGTGTCGAAATCGCTGATGTTAAAGAAGGAATTAAACAAGATCCTTATACAATCGACATTCTCCAACAGCTCCATACAAATCCTTCCTTAGTTCCTGATTTTTCTTCACATGAACAACTCTTGTTTTTCAAAGGAAGGATGGTTATTCCAGATATACCTGATCTTAAACTTAGTTTAATTCAAGAGTGTCATAATTCACCAGTTGGAGGACATGGCGGTTTTTTAAAAACCCTTAATTCAAGAGTGTCATAATTCACCAGTTGGAGGACATGGCGGTTTTTTAAAAACCCTTAAATGATTATCCCTCCAGTTCTTTTAGCCAAAAATCAAACAGGAAGTCAGGGTATTCGTGCAAAATTGCCTCGTATGCCAGCAACAAAAATACCAAACACTTTCCCCGACTGGTCTCCTCCAACCCTTACCAATTCCTATTCAAATTTGGGAGGACATTTCAATGGATTTTGTTGTGGGGTTGCCCCCATCCAACAACTTTGATACTATTTTAGTGGTAGTTGATCGCTTAAGCAAATACGCCCATTTTCTGAGTTTGTCTCACCCCTTTACAGAAAAAAGTGTTGCTGCCCTTTTTTGTAAGGAAAGTGTTCGTTTACACGGTTTCCCACGTTCCATTACCTTGGAGTGTGATGTTATTTTCTTGAGCACTTTTTGGAAAGAACTCTTTCGTTTGAGTCAAATCAAATTGCAATTGAGTACCTGTTACCATCCTCAAACGGATAGTCAAACAGAAGTTCTCAATCGGTGTCTCGAGGCCTACTTGCGTTGTTTTGTCCATGAACAACCAACTAAATGGAGTTCATATATAGTATGGTCTGAATACGCTTATAATACTGGGCACCATACTTCCACAGACACAACTCCTTTTTCCATTGTGTATTGTCACACCCCAAAACCAGAACGGCGGAAACGTTCGGGGGCGGAGGACGTCATGTACAGTATCATAACAATGTAAAGTAGTAAACAAGCAACGGCATCATCCATTGCGTTAATAGTATAATTTCATATAAATGTGTTCTTTCATTGTAATGAGACACCAAAACATGAATCAAAATAAAAGACGAGTCTTGAGTGTGCTTCGTCTTCTCAAAACCTAGTCATCGTACCTGTCTACTGGTGACCTGAGAATACAAGTTATTTTGAAAGCGTAGATCAACATTTAAGCTGGTGAGTTCGTGTCAATGTTTGTATAAGTTCGATGAAAATGTTTGTAAATGTTCAATGTAAATGTTTGTATATGTTTGAAAACTCCTATAAAATTCTATATTTTCTACTAGTATAAA